CTAAAACACCAGATTCCCACCTCCAAAATGAGGCCTGGAGAGCTAAGAGAACAGAGCCAGATGGATCAAGGCCACTAAAACACCAGATTCCCACCAGATTCCCACCTCCAAAATAAGGAGGAGAACTAAGAGAACAGAGCCAGACAGATCAGCTAGTTTTTTTCTGTCTTCACATGGAAATACATGTCTTTAGTAGAGAACAAGCTATACAACCCTCAGATGTGAGAGAAAAAGAGAAATTCACTACTAGAGAAAATCCTCTGGGATCCATTAAACATTTACTCTTCCTTGGCCAAAATAACGTTGCCATCAGGTTGGCCAGACTGTCGCCAGTCAGATGCACTAGATCCCCACTCGCCTCCGAGTTATGGCCACACAAGACAACATTTAATATAGTATTTAATGCTTTTATAAGAAGAGTCATTGATCTTATTAAAATCTTACTTGTAAATAAAAAACCCACAGGATTCAAATTTGTAATTCTTCTTTTTTTTTTTTTTTTTTTTTTTGAGACAGAGCCTCAAGCTGTCCCCCTGGGTAGAGTACCGTGGCATTACAGCTCACAGCAACCTCCAACTCCTGGGCTCAAGCGAGTCTCCTGCCTCCGCCTCCCAAGTAGCTGGGACCACAGGCGCCTGCCACAACGCCCGGCTATTTTTTGGTTGCAGCCGTCATTGTTGTTTGGCGGGTCCGGGCTGGGGATTCGAACCCGCCACCTTAGGTGTACGTGGCTGGCGCCTTAGCCGGTTGAGCTATAGGCGCCGAGCCTGTAATTCTTCTTTTAATTCTTATTCTATCATCAGTCTGATTTTGCTCTCTCTGACCCTGGTTTTCTTCCATGCCCTTCTCAACAAACTGTTTTCAAACTGCTCAGTAATTTTCCATGTGACTTTAACCTCCCCACTCCCTTCCTGTCTCTTCCCTTCTCTCCCACACCTCGTTCTCTATCTACACCTCCCTCCCTCCCTCTCTCTCACAAACACACACACTCACACGCACGAATAATTTTAGGAAATTACTATAAAGGAAGTTCAGAAATCTTGATCTGGAAGTTGACAAATTTATGAGTCAATTTTCACATGGAATGACCAGGTGGTAGAAAAATAGGAAGAATTTTTAGGAAATCTGCAAAACACTAAATAATCATCTGAAAGGGAAAACTTCATATATAAAAGTTACAAACTATCCTCCATAGTTACTTTATATACTAAAGCCCAGAAGAAACAAATAATAAATTTATTTTTTCATTGGATAATTCTACCAAAAAATTGTTGGTATCTATTTCCTTCTACTTTTTATACACTTTATCCTTACAAGCTACAAAGTGGACAAATGAACCACACAACAGAAATCCTCATGGTGGCTCCACAGCCTGCACCTGTGATAAACTTCACGGGGTGCCCATTCAAAGTACACCCAAATCCAGTACAGGGAGGCCCTTTCTTCTTATGACACCATCCAGGGCTATTTGGTTTTCAGCTGAAACCACAGTTAGCAAAAGCTGAACAACATTACACGACATCACCATCAGAGATTCAACAACAGCAACAGAAAGGACGGCTGGTGAAGGAGGACGGTGTGGAGAGCATCACCGCCTCAGGACGTGGACCGGACTGTGCCCTGCGATAAAGCCGCTCAAGTCCTCCCTGCCAATCCCTCCTAACACAACCTCACTTGGAAATGGGTACTGCTAGTTAGGATGAGGTCATGCTGGCGAAGGGTGGCCCCTAATTCAGTATGACTGGTGTCCTCACGAGAAGACAGCCCTGTGAAGACAGCAGGGACTCCTGTGACCTGGGAGCTGACATTAATCTGATGCAGCTACGCCAAAGACGGCTTAGCCTTCACCAGCAGGAGGAGAGAGCAGTGAGGGGATAAACTGCTGTCATTTTAAACCACCCGATTTGTGCTTCTCTGTTACAGCAACACTGAAAAACAAATATACCTAATATCAAGAAAAAAATTCAAATTGTCATCTTAAAATACACCCTGTTCATAACTGCCAAAATTTGGAAGCAACCCAAATGCCCTTTATTGGTGAATGGGTTAGCAAACCATGGTACATCCATACAACAGAATATGGACTCAGTGATAAAAAGAAATGAGTTGTCAAGCCATGAAAGGCTCTGAAGGAAGTTTAAAAGCAAACCGCTAATGAAGAAGCTAATCTGAAAAGACTGAGGAGCAGATGGTTCAGCCCCCGGCACTGTGGAAAGGAGGCCTGGAGATAGAAAGGTCTGTGCCTGGCAGACACTCACGGGACAGGAGGGACAAGTAAGTGGCACTCAGCAATCCTGCAGCTGACCTGCCATGTGAGGGTGTGATGTGACCTAGAAGTCAGGCCAGAGCTCTTCTGATTATTCAAAGCACTTCCACCCTGAACGTCTCCCGATGCCCTTCACAGCTGGCGGCCACACCCTGCATCAGCTGCCAAGAAGGAGAAGCACACTAACCTCGCTTTCTATTTTTCTGTCAACTAACTTTCATAGTAAAAGTAAATACAGTCCATGTTATTATCAAGCCCAGCACGGCTTCTACAACATCTCAAAAGAAAACAGAACCCCTCAAAAGAAAAATCACAGATGAAGGAAAATTGTTCAACGAAAGTGGACTGATGACCACTTTTCTGTCGAGATGCAGTGAGACACTGCTTAATTTAGAGGGAATTCACGCTAATTTTCAAAGGCTAAGAATTGAAAAGGCATTCTATACAAAAATATGCTGAAAATTTGACGCCTATGAAGATTGTGTTATTAAGACAAAATAGTGAAACTGAAAAAGGCCTGTTTTCTCAATAAAATTTTTAAGTTACAGCTCCACTATAAAAGCTAATTATGTGTAGCATGTTTAATAGGAAAAAAATCAAAATCATTTATTGGTGAGTTTATTATGCAATGTACTGAAAGCACAGAAGATATAATTTGCTCTGAAAAAATAGGGGCATAATTATAAAATCAGTTTTTCTCACCAGACTATAGCCAGGAGAATTGCAGAAACTGAAAAAAATCTATCAAAAGAAGTTTGGAGAATAAAGCTGCTAATTTCAAATTTTATGCTTTGGTGATGGATGACAGCACTAATGGGGCAAATAGGGCTCAACTTGCCATTTTTAGAGATATTGATGACAAACATAACGTCACTGAAAGACACAACTAAATCAAGAGATTTATATGAAGCAGTAAAAAACATGTCAAAGCAACTTTCTTTGTCCATCATCAACACATCTGTTGTAGTTACTGACGTTGCCCCTGCAATGGTAGGTGAAGAGAGGGACTTATAAAATTAATAGAAAACAATGCAATTTCCACTCAAAACTCACACTTGATGAAGGATCATTCTATAGGACATCAAAAAAGTTTATGTGCAAACCTTTAAAAATAGATCATACCGTGCAAATCATCAAGAATGTGAATTCCATAAAGAATAAGGGACTGAATAATCACCAATTCTGTGCACTGGCATCAGACACACAGCGGCTTGTGCACGTAGTGGCATCAGACAAGCAGTGGCTGTAAATGCAGTTGCATGTGTGTGCAATGGCCTGTAAATTTAGCAACATCATATACATCATGGCTGTAAAGGCAGTGACTTGTACACGCAGTGGCGTGCAAACTCAGCTGCACTGCATGCAATGGTATCAAACATATAGTGGTGTATAAATGCAGTGGCATCATGCATGCAGTGCCTTGTAAATGCAGGGCATGTACATGCACTGGTGTGTAAATGCAATAGCTTGTAACTGCAATGGTATCATACATGCAGTGGTGTGTAAATGCAGTGGAATCGTGCATGCAGTGGTGTCATACATGCAGTGCCTTATAAATGCAGTGGTGTGTACATGCACTGGTGTGTAAACGCAATAGCATGTAAATGCAGTGGTATCACACATGCAGTGGCTGTAAGTACAGTTGTGTGTGCGTGCAGTGACGTGCTAATTCAGTGACATGTACATGCACTGGTGTCATACATACATGCAGTGGCACGTAAGCAGCCACTGGATAGGAGAAATGATCACAGGTGCTCTCTACCACGTGAAAATGTTACCAGGACACAACAAGCCTCACAGACACAAGATATGCCAGGGCCTGGATCCTGGACTTCCTAGCTTCCAGAAAAATAAAAAAATAAATGTTTGAAGAAAAATAGACTCTCAAGTCAGGTTAAAGGGCTAGCACCACACAGGAGATTCCTTTTCTCCAGCATTTACAGGCAAGGGTTTATAGAAAAGCAGATGAATCCAGAAGTGTACAAAGTGCTACAGGATATTGGTGATGTGGTTAATTTCACAGAAACAAGACTCTTCATAAATAAATACTTAACAAACTATAACAAGATGTGTAGAACTATCACACAAGGTTTAAGTGACTTAGCTCTCAAACCGGACTGCATGGGCTGGAATCCTGGCAGTAGAATTTATTAGCTATGAGACCTTGAACGCATTACTTAATCTCTATGAGTTATTATCATCTGTAGGATGGTGACAGAATTGGTGCAGTTTTAAAAGAGATAATTCATGTACAGCATTCAGAATAATCATTGGTTCATAGTCAGTACTCAATAAATGTTAATTATTATTGGTCATTATTATGGAAGTAATCATGAAAACCTTTCATACCAGAAAGAAATTCACTATGTATCTTTTGGCAAAGAACTTAAAGTCATTAACCTTAGAGATAAACTATGCACTTTTCTTTTACAAATAAGGAAGCATTCCAAATTTGCTAGCCTATTCTGGGATATTTCATAGACTGAGATCTATGAAAACATTTGGTCAGATCTCCTGCTTAATTAAAGTTATATGATAGTACCGGCCGCAAATACCTAACAGAAAGCGCTTCATCAGAACTTTAAAACAGTATACATACCCTCAAATCAGGAGAAAAGTTTTCTGCAGAAGTTGAAATGGAATCTGATGATAAAACAGAAGCTGATTTTGTATGCACTGAGTTCTCTGAATGAGAAGTGGAGGCACTACAAAATAAAAAGCACAGTGTAGTATGTTTGAAAATGCAGGCTTTCAACACCAATTTCAGACACGTATTTAATATAACGCCATTATTTATTAAAGCTTCCACTGGCATCTAGTGTCATCTCTCTGCCTATTTAATCTTATCTCTAAATATTGCTCAATTATCAATTCTCTATTCCCGCAGTGGGTGGGGTCAAGCATTCTTACCACTTACGTTCCCTCTGGACAGACTTTCCAAGAATTCATGAAGACATTCCAGGCTAATTCCTCTTTCTCATCTAGCCATCCATCCCTTCATCCAAAGGACATTCACTGAGGGGTCCGATGTACAAAGTGACTACCAGACTCCGGGATTTGGAGATACATGTAACACAGCCCTGATGCTCACAAGCTCACAAAAATAGGTAAGTAAACAAATGGTGCCATATGACACTGACACACACACACACAACACATAAATACGCGCAGCTTTGAGAGAAAAGAAAAGGAAGAAGCCGCCTCTGGCCAGGAAGTTCAGGGAGACATCACAGAGAAGATGCTTCACTCACTTCTACAGTGAGTCTCAGAAGACAGGAAATTGTCCAGCTGACAAAAAAGTAAGCAAATCCCAAAGCAAACAAAAGGCACCACAAAGATCAGAAGTTACAAAACACAGGAGCCCCTGACAAACTACAAACAGCTAAAAACAGCCAGATGTGGGCAGCGCCTGTGCCTCGAAGGAGTAGGGCGCCGGCCCCATATGCTGGAGGTGGCAGGTTCAAGCCCAGCCCCAGACAAAAACTGCAAAAAAAAACCAAAACAAACAAAAACCAGCCAGATGTGCGTAAAAGCAATAGATGACAAAGAAGAGACAGGCCGTTCATGGTACCTCACAGCTTCCCACAACAGCGAACTCCACTTTAACAAGCCTGACTTAAATGCCTGCTTCATCCATTAAACTAAGTTCCCACACGCCACAGTTACTTTCCTTTTCTTGAATTCCTATAAAACTTTTGCTACCTGATCACATACTTTCATTGCTTGATTTCAAGTATGTACATTTTTGTCTCACTAACCAAACTTAAAGTGCCCCAAGAACAAGAATTGTTTTTATTTCTTTTTTCTTTTCTTTTCTTTTTTTTTTTTTGGCTGGGGCTGGGTTTGAACCCGCCACCTCCAGTATACGACCGGTGCCCTACCCCTTTGAGCCACAGGTGCCGCCCCTCTTTTATTTTCCACAAGATCTACTTCAATGTCTGTGAATACTGTCAACATCTATTATGTTTATTAAATTAAAAAACATACTGACAATATGCCAAAAAGTGAATGACTGATATCATTTCCTTTTTATCAGTAAACAAAAATTAAAATAATTCAGGTAAAAAAATGGTAGAAAAACCTCAAACACTTTAAACTGAACCTAAAGTTTAGATTTCAAAAATATGTTTTTCTAAAGCTCCATACCAAGCATATTTGGTCTCCTTTGTACCAAAAGTCAACATTTTTTTTTCATTAGATTTTAAGGAAATACTTCATGCTAGGTTTCAATAATATTTAAGAACCACAGTTTGGTTTTAAAATAAACTCACCCATTATAAATGATTGACTCACCTATAAAAAAGAAACTGTCATTTAATTTCAATGAATGAAAAGGAGTATTCCAGTAAGAATTCATCATAGTTATTTTTTTCAAATGCAAACATCCCTTTATTTTCTTTACTATTTCAAAGTATATGCAGTTATTTGTTTATGCCCAACAAACCTATTACATGTACAAAAAAGCAAGGAATTGTACTATCTAGTTCTATAATGTAAAGAAAAATAAATAAATAGGCTGATACTGCTTTTCTTTTTTCGTAACTTCTGATTGATGAAATGCCATCTGTAATAAAATAACAGGCAAAATAAGCAAACTTGAGGCACGCTACTCAAATACTGTTAGCTTCCCACTTCACAGAGATCCCCCTTTTGTCCCTAACTTTGATCAGAGCAGTCTGTGCCCAGCTCAAGATGACAGGCTGCTTTTGTTTTTCTTGTGGCTTCATTGAGAGCCACATGACACAATTTTAGTCAGTGAGATTTAGTGGGACATCTGCAGATGGTTAGAGAAACCTATCCTATATATACAGAAGCCCAAACCACCATGTAGGCCTTATCCTTTCTTTTTTTTTTTTTTTTTTTGAGACAGAGCCTCAAGCTGTCCCCCTGGGTAGAGTGCTATGGCTTCACTGCTCACAGCAACCTCCAACTCCTGGGCTCAAGCGAGTCTCCTGCCTCTGCCTCCCAAGTAGCTGGGACCACAGGCGCCCACCACAACGCCCAGCTATTTTTTGGTTGCAGCCATTATTGTTGTTTGGTGGGTCCAGGCTGGATTTGAACCCACCACCTTAGGTGTATTTGGCTGGCGCCTTAGCCGCTTGAGAGACAGGCGCCGAGCCTCCTTATCCTTTCTTACTTTCTCTAGACCAGCAGTTCTCAACCTGTGGGTCGTGACCCCTTTGTGACAATGAAAATACATCTCAGACATAGCGGCATTAGGAAGGCTGCGAACCACTGCCTAGACGGAAAAAGGAAAGTAAAGGTTGGAAATACAGTAAGCATCTTATAAACAAAAGTTAACACACTGGACGGCTGAGGACAAGGAGACAAATTAGATAAAAACAGGTCCTTGAAGCATCACTGGACCAACAACTGTTTACCTGTGGAATTCTTGTTATGCAAAATAAATGGCTGTGACAGGTGCACGCCCCTGTGGTCCCAGCTCATCAGGAGGGACTGGTGAAAGGATTACTTGAACCCAAGAATTCAGGAACAGCATGGGCAATACAGTGAGACCCCATCTCAAAATAAAAATAAAATAAATACTGTATAAATGAAAACTAAATAAATGAACTTCAATTTTTAAAACCACTGTAGTAGAGCTTTCTATTCTATACAAACACGATTCTAACTGACAGAGCAATCAATATCTTACAAACTGTATTTGGAGCAAGTTCAAATGTATAATGCTACTTTACACACAGATGACCTTCTGGGAGAAAAGAGAAAACTCTTCAAGACAATAAAACACGATTTGAAATTATGGGGAGTATATTAACTAGAAAAATATTGTCAGAAAAATATTGTCAGAACCAAGAAACTAAATGACTCTTTAGAACCAAAGTTTAAAGTAAATACATCTAAGAGAAATAAAATAACGAATCCAGGTACTGCAACTAAAACCTACTTTGCAATCTCAGATTTGGAAAAACAGTCTTTCAAGCAGAAGTGTGGTAAATAGCCTTTAATTATTAACTTCTCTTTTCAGACACACATAAACATTGGTAGGCATTATGATGTTATATTTGAATAAGCACTAATGTATATTTCAGCATAACCAGTCTACAAAAAAATTTTAACTCCAAGAAAACAATGAGGAGCTGGAGGGGGTAGAGGAATAGGGATATACTATAGCACTGTTGTGATTATGGCAGAAACACCACACACATGTATACACACACACACGCATACACACGCACATACACACACACACACGCACCACCAATACACGCACACACACACACATGCACCACAAATACACACACACGCACATACATATACACACACATACACACGCACCACAAATACACACACACGCACATACACATACACACGCACTACAAATACACACATACACGCACACATACACACCACAAATACACACGCATACATATATACACACGCATACACACGCACCACAAATACACATACACACCACAAATACACACACACGTACATACACGTGCATACACACGCACCACAAATACACACACATGCACCACAAATACACACGCACATACACACACATACACACACCACAAATACACACACGCACATACACACACATACACACCACAAATACACACACATGCACATACATACACACACACCACAAATACACACACGCACATACACACGCATACACACACGAATACACACACACGCGCATACATACACACACACACCACAAATATACACACACGCACATACACACGCATCACAAATACACACACATGCACATACATATACACACACATGCACCACAAATACACGCACATACGCATACACACACCACAAATACACACACGCACATACGCACACACACACCACAAATACACACATGCACATACACACGCATACACACACACCACAAATACACACACGCACATACACACACATACACACCACAAATACACACACGCACATACACACGCATACACACATGAATACACACACACGCGCATACATATACACACACATACACACACCACAAATACACACACGCACATACACACGCATACACACACCACAAATACACACACATACATACGCATACACACACAAATACACACGCACATACGTATACACACACACCACAAATACACACACATGCACATACACACCACAAATACACGCACATACACACACATGCACCACAAATACACACACGCACCACAAATACAAACACGCACGCACATACACATACACATGCACCACAAACACACTCACATACATATATACGCACATACGCACCACAAATACACACACACGCACACACAGAAACACATGCATACACACGCACCACAAACACACGCACGCACACATACACACGTATCACAAATACACATACGCACACACAAACACACATACATGCACACAAACACACACACATAATCCGTGCACACATACAAACACAATACACACATAGACACACACACAAATACACATACACAAGCACACACACATACGCACCACAAATATACACACACATACACACGCACCACAAATACACACACACGCACATATACGCACACATACATACGCACCACAGACACATACACACGCATAAACACACACCACACACACACACAAACACATACATGCACACAAATACACGCACCGCAAATACACACACATAACGCGCGCACACATGCACACACAAACACACAAATACACATACCACAATACACATACGCGCACACAC